ATGTTTTAGGAAAAATATGTTTAAGAACTTATTTCAAAATAGCAATAATCTATATACATATATAATGTATTTTACAAAATACTAGCCTACTAAAACACAGCCAAGACAAGTTACTTTATACATACCAAAGGTCAGTTTTATGTTATTTGATATGTTAACATGAGTGCACATGAACCGCGTCAAGTTATAGTTTTCATGCTATAACTTTTAAATTAGTTAGCATATGTTCACGAAATTTGGCATATTATCTGTAAACATTACAAGGCTTTTGTATGCAAAATATCAGATTTTTTATATTAAGTCTTAAGGTTTTTTTAATAATGTTTTTCTCATGTCTATTTTTTCTTTTCACATGTTGCCAATCTATCATGCAAAGTAATATTCATTTTAAGATTAAAAATTTTAAATTTCACATGTAAAATCTTTATAATGTCGAAATAGTTATCAAACGTTTCTTAAGAAAAAACTTTATATTTTATCTGATATTTTCAGTAATTAATTTCTGTATGGGTTTGGTAGATTTAACCGATCTCATAACCACCATAAAGAATTTGGAAATAAATATAAATTATGCCTCTTTCATTCTAGAATGAACACATATAACACTAAAATATAAATGTAGACTAAATAGTTTAAATCTCATAAAATTATACATTTTTATATATTTATTATTTTTATTATAAAACACAAAATGGTTACGAGGTCAGTCCCAGGGGCCGAGCCCTTGTTGAAAGAGTTAATGGCTCCCTAAACAAATGAGAGTGAAAGCTATAAAAGTTATGCTTTGCCTGAGTAATATCTATATTATAATGAGTAAATATGTTAAATTCTGTACTTCTCAGATAGGTGGTAAATAAATTAGAGAAGACCTACAGAGCAAATGTCACAGTTCTTATAACAGGGGAGAATCTGAATTTTGATTAAAATATTTCCTCATAAAATTAAGAACTTAAAACTGAACTAGTATTACAATATGATTTATTAACTATGTTTTAATGCCAAGTTCATTCGTATACACTGATAATAAAGTTGTTTAATCAAATTTTTAATGTAACTTCGTAGAAGGTAGTGACTTGCACAATTTTATCTAGCTATTGTGAAAGGATTAACTAAAAAATCAGATTTTTTGTGCACAAAAGACTTGTAATGTTTACTGAAAGCTTGCTAAATTTTGTGAAGTTACACAAAATGTTTTAAAAATTATAGTATAAAAGCTTTGATGGTTACTTTAGGGTTACAAGGTAGGTCACGCAGAGGGTTAAAAAATCTGTTTGTTTGTTCAGTTTTACTTATGTATCTTAATTAGAATGTTCTTTTATTTCTCTGTTGCATTTTGTATTTATGTCACAGTAAATATGTTAAGTGACACACATATGCACATGTAACTGAACTTGTTTTACCTATTAAACTGTACTTAAAGCCAAACATTAGAAAAATCCCTTAGTTACCTGTTGACTTATATTTAAGCCTGAACATCGTTTCAAGAGAGATGTGCTCAACACAGATACATCGTGGTTTGGTGAAATACTGTGATAAATTATATCTTCTGTGATAGGAGAACTATGCACATGTTCATTAGCCCACCATGCTAATCGAGGTAAGACCCTTCGTCCACTACGAGTCACTTGCATTTCACTACTAAGAATCTTGTCCACAGATACTTGGGTGGCATTCTTTTCTAAGAGAGAAATTTCAATACTTTCAGTAAAGTACAAAACAAATGAATTGCTTGCTAAATGCAATGCATCAGTTCTACAGCATTATTGCTTATACAGTTAAAGCTCAGTAAAAAAACAAAACAAAGAGTATTTGTAAACTACATTTACTAATAAGGTATTCCAGTTGTGCTTGTCGCTATTTCTTCTATAAATAGGAATAAATATCTCTATCACATTTTATACTTCAATGTTTACTACAATTTGTTCTTCTTTTGTATCCAACCCACCTGAAGCATTCTGTTCTTGATGTAATGTTCTTTGGGCAGGATTTTTCTTTTGTACATTTTTACAGTCTGACTTCTGAGTATTTTTCTTCTTTACATTTTTGCCACCTGATGATTTCTGTTTATTCTTCTTCTGTGAATGTTTTATATCTGAATTCTTATTTTGCTGTATACTTCTGCTTTTTGAAGTATTTTGAATAACTGTTTTTTCCTGAACTTCTAAACTGTGAATAATCATACAAAGAAAGTTTATACTTCATAGGTCTCTCTAACTTACAGTCCTTTACCTACCACAGCTAAAATGTTCAAATTTTTGAAGTAGTATTATCTCTGTCTTTCAGTCTGAAAGCTGAATCAATAAAAACTAATCTCAGGTGTTGTTTAAGTGTCTGTGGGAAAGTATTGCTTCATAATGTAAATCTTATGGTAAAATAAGTTGTAAGTTAAAGTCAAAATACTTTACAATAGATTTTTTGTTATCAGTAATAGGTTTACAGGATTTCAAAGATAATTCAAAAATTTAATTAAAAGTAAGGATACTTTGTAATATGTTGTTTTAATATACCTATACATTAAAAAACTGTGGTAAGCAGCTTAGAATAATCTTTGCTCAGTCTTGAGACTATGTTTTAGTCTTATTCATCTTTAAAATTGTCCTTATATGATCAGCCTTAAAATAATGCTATAATCCCTGCAGATGACTGCATTTTTCCAACTAGCCCATTAGCTCATTAGATTTAAATTCTTAAATAATTAGAACAATGTTAACTTACAAATGACATGATGTTACTGGTTAGTATTATAATTACTGTTGTTTTCTTCCAGGCCTTTCAGCTGAAGTCATTCAGAAATTCCAGAATGGATTTCCAATACAGTGGAAAGAAACACTTTCAAATAATCTCTCAGTTAAAGGAAGTGGAAGGTTAGTATGATTATAATTATCAGAAGAAGGCCCTTTAAAAAAATTCACATGCTTTGCAAATTTCTTAAGTTGCTCTTGCTCTGCCAACAGCCACATGGCTTTTGGTTTTGAATGTCCTAAATGCACTATAAGCAACACCTTACCCATTCCCTTACTTGCACATGTTGTATTGTGCAAGTCAGGAAAACTATATAAGGTTTGCTTTCACACCACAAGCAATATTTGCTTGTTCACAGTTGCGATGTTATAAGACATTTTATCAAGTTCTAAAAATTTAAAGTCACATTCAGGTAGACTTATCTCAGAAAAAATTTAAAATCTACAACATCCATAATGAGAAGAAAGAGAGTTACAATCTGAATAACTCTTTAACTACTGGGCTATGTGCATTGCTCCTACCACATAACCACCAAAGCACCCATTAGATTAGTCATACTATAACTTTTGATAATATATGCATATCTTCACAAAACTTCACAGTCTTTCAGTAAACATTAGAAGGCTTTTGTACATAAAATGTCAAATTTTTTAGTTAAATAAATTAATTAATGATTTGTTCATGAATATTTGCTTTCAGAATGTTGACTATCCAACTGCAGTTATTTTAATTTTAAGATTAAAAATACTCTTCTTCATCTAAAAATTATCATATTTCATTTGCATGATTTCTATAATCTCCTAAATAAATATAAAACATTTTCTTTCAAAAAAATTTTATATTTTTTTTGTTATTTTTTACACCCTAACTTTACACAGGGTTCGTCGATTTAACTGACCTCATAACCACCACAAAAAATTAGGAAATCAATTTAAATTACCCATTTTTCTTTGTAGAATAACTGCAGTTTGTAAAAGGATACCACAATAGCTTAAATCTCATAACAATATACATGTATTTATTAATTTTTTTTCGTTTTATTGACCCTTGAGCCATGTCTAACAAATAATCCTACCACATAAATTGTAAATCATGCGATGCACATGAAGCTTATGTTACCATAATGAATAGCATAAAACAGACCTTTACAAAATACAAATGTCTTACTCTTCTTAGTCTTAGTATTAGCATACCAGTACTTTGTAAAATACAATCACATTTCAATTACCATACATTACATATGTGTATTATATATATTATTACTATTTATAAATAAATTCTTAAATTTCAGTTAATTTTTTTAAAAAATCAAACAGTAAATAAAAAATATATAGAAAACAATGATCTCTAGTACTTACAATCCTATGAAGTTTTGTACTCATGCATCGTACCCTCATCCAATTTCATATGCGGAGGATGTAAAAACTAATTTTTATTTATTACCATATTGATACCACAAAAATCCGCTGTAATTTATAAGGCTTCCTAACCAACCTGTATTTAGGAGTAAAAAAATCCCATTTCTGATCGGAATTTAACTGTTATCACCACTCTTGAAACTCTACAATGATTATAATGGATTTATCCGCATAAGTACTTCAAAAAGTCTGAAAGGATTATGGAGTTCAAAATCAGTACTTTCGATTGATTATACACATGTACTTAAGAGAAATAGGCATGGGTAAACAAATAGTTTCAAAAGAGCACGAGGTGGGCAGAGTCACTGTGGTGGGTTCACTAAAAATAATATCTCAGCAAATAGAAAAGGTAGGAGATTCTCATTTTATATTCAAGCTTTTCAATATTGGTAATTTGAGTTTCTTATTCATTAAAATCTAGACTTTATACTTTATGACACCCACAGTAAAATCTGAGCAAAAGAAGATGATATACCATGTGACATACAAGAAATTGATATTTAGCATTTTTTAAATATTTACTTCTGAATTAAGAAATCAAATACCATACAAGATTAAAACTTGAATTATAAACTACAAGTTGATTCTAAATTTATTGTTATACATGCATTCAATAGTGGTTTAATAAAATTATGAATGTAAGTCTACAAAATGTAATGGCATGTGCTCTGACTCCCTAACCTTATGGAAAGAGTTAACTGAAGTTCTTAGTTTCTTGTATCTTTTCAGCTTCTATATTTTTCAGGATGCTTCTAGGATACATCATGGGCACTATACAGGTATTCTACTAGGTGCCTGCCTAGTAAAAGTGGGTTTCCTTGGGCACTGGATTTAGTGATCCCAGTCTAGGCACAGGATTTATAGATCCCCACCTCCCTGAAGGACCACAAGTCCAACATGGGTTGTTTGTAAGAATTTGTGAAAGAGAGAAGAAAAATCCTACTGGGAAAACTTACAAGTCAAAGGCTTTTCCAACATTCCTGGAGTGGCATCATACTTTAACATATTCAATAGATTTCAGAAATTTAAAACATAAACCTCATTTTTCAATTTAATTAACCATGAATTTAAAACTTTAAATCTTAAAACTATGCGTGGGTCACTGACAAGTCTAATGATCTCTGAACTCTCGTGAATTAGGTTTTTACATCATCTTTTCTTCAATGAAATTCCCATCATGGGGAAAAAAATAAATTCATAAGTAAATACTTTTTACCTATTGTATCAAAATAGTAATTTTTCATGTAACATTATTTCAGATAAACTAGGGTAACATGCAAACAGTAACAAATCATCTACAGTGCCTAATGCTGAACACAATGCACATGCTCTGTGGTATACAAGATATTGAATATCTCAAAGGTTTACATATATTCTTTCCACATAGGTAATCTTTTTTTGTACAAGACATGAGATTTTACTAAGTTATATTCAATATTTAATTAAATTACTTTATTGTCACAGTATACAAATAAATTGGCATAAAAAATAGCTAATAAACCAAATTTTAATGTTATATAAGTTTTAATTTCTTAACTTTATACAGCAATATAAAAAACAAAGCTTCAATTTTCCCTAGTATGAGAATTGTGACATTTGCTCTCTAGGTCTTCCCTCTTCTCTAATTTATTTACCACCCCTCCAAGAAGTACACAATTTAACATAAGTTACCCATTATAGCATTGTCATCAATCAGGCAAAGGATAATTTTTATGGCATTCAATCTTATTTGGTTACAGTGCCATAAACTAAAAAGTCAGACTCCTCTTGCCACACCCACCTGACAATAGTTCTCTCCGATATATTAAAATATTCCATGATCAACGTTTTATAATATACAATGAAAATTTTATTCAAAAACTGATCAATGGTCATAAAAAGACACTACATGTTTTGAAGTCATTCACGTCATCCTCAGGAGTGTGAAAACCAAATCCTGTGCAACACATAAATATAAAAAAGCCATGGTCATGTGACTACTAGTTTACATATTTAAAAAAAAAGATCACATCATGTACTTACTTTCTGATTTTCTAACCCTTCATTGTTATTTAAGATGAAATTATTTTTACTGTGCTTCACTATTTCTATGGTTTCCCTAATATTTCTAGCCATCATATTATTTGGTTGAGCCAAAATAAATTTTTCCCACTGGATAACAGGACCAGTATAATTTGCATGTTCAGCAAGTGGAGTTTTCACTTTTGTTTTTAACATTTCTCTCATGTTCATTTTCTCTAAATTTTAAATTTCTTCTAGCTTGACCAATATCTACACCTCCACATTCACATCAAATTTTAAAAGTACCCGTTTTCTCCATTACATTTTATTTCATTTTTAGTTTTATTTAGTATTTGACTAATTTTGTTAAATGGTCTATAAATGGGAATGGGATTTCTGATTTTCATGCAAATCCCATCCCCTTATTAAGTACACCAATCTGTTTATCATTTAACACAATATCTGATTTGTTAATCATTTTTTTAATAGCATATAGCCCATCAAAAATGATGGGGTAAATACAATGACCCTCATAGTATGCCCTAACCTCACATTTTTTAGCTGACTGAAATAAATGAATTTTACAAAATCGAGCTTGACAAAGAGGAAGAAAAGTGCAGTCGAGGCAGTCAAACGTTGGTAAATACCTTTGTGAGCCAATCAAAATTGAGATCATTCATGAAATGAAATTGTGGCATATTCATAGAATAATTATTGGTAAAATCAGTTCATTTAGATTACCAACTTTCTAATATACAGAAAATCCAGTGCATTTTGGTAACACTACCCTCCAACAATAACTTTTATGTCATGTTGCTTAGCAACAAAATTATAACCTAATATTGTTGTTAGTCTATGTACTGAGAGTATAAAATGAAATGTATAGACAATAAAACTGGAAAAATATTTGTTGATTTCATAATTTAGAGTCTCCATTGATTAAAGAGGTATTTTTTATTAAAAACATTGGTGATATAACAGAAAATAGCTTAATTCAGAAATGAGTTAAGTTTAACATTGAATCCATATTTTTACTTTCATGATAAATTTTATGCACTTAGCTCTAGGCTAGGTGACCCCACATTACATCTTTACTTTAGGCTTATTATACCAACACTCCTTACACTTATATGTTTCACGACACCTTGCACCCCATCACTAAAATCATAATGGGCAAACAGTAATCGTACTGTTCTATCTGGATAAATGCATATTGGCTTTTATGACTCCTCCTATTTCAAGAAATCAAGCATGACCCACACTTGCTTTTATGTTGGTTAGATTTCTTATTAAGTTAGCATAAGGTTCAGGTAATTTGTCTTCAACATATGTCCATTTGGCCTTGCACCATTGCTTTGCCTTCTTAGTTTTCTTCATTGTGTGTAGAGCATTCTTCAATGTTTTTTTTTCACATTTTTCTCTGACACAAAACTTATGGTAAGCAGCCATATTCCTGCCACTTTCTTCTCCAAAATTCACGACTTCCAGCTTGAATGCTGCTGTGTAGGATATATGCTACTCATAACAAAGATTAAAAAGGGTCAAGAAGATTTGGGCTTGTTGTTGGTTGGTTAAGCATGCTTCATTGAGCAGATTATATGATGATCTTCACAGCTAAAAAAACTTGTTTTATTTTATGAAACATTGAGAAATTTCGATGACTAATTCTTAAATAAGTTGAAGCTCGGGAAAACTGTGAATGAAGAATTGTCTTATATGCTGAAAAATATGGTCTTTAGGATAAACAAATTTAACTTCATGTTACAATATTTCATATTTTTTTATGGTGGTTATGAGGTCGTTCAAATTGACTGAGGGCAGAGAAAATAACAGATAAAATACAATATTTTACTGAAAAAAAGTTTGAAATTTACTTAGGAGGTTTAGAGATTACATAAATGAAACTTGACAATTTTCAGTTGAAGTCTTTTTTTAATCTTAACATAAAAATCACTTTGCACTGGGAGCAGTCAACACTTTGAGTCCACATATTCACAGAGAAACATCTAGCAAAAATATTTCATTAAACAATTCTGTTTTTTTGTCTACAAAAGACATGTAATGCTTATTGAAAGCTTTCAAAAGTTTGTGAAGATTCACAAAACATATTAGAAGTTATAGTATGAAACTCTAAAGGTCAACATGGAGACATGAACTAAGCCAATTCAAACAAGTCCGTAAAGAGACACTTAAGATTGTGCATTGTTGAATAGGAGAAATAATGAAAGATTTATTCACTTATCAGTCACCCGAAGCAATAATACTTAAGGTAAATACTTAAACTACAGTTTTCTTGTCACCTGATCCAAGTGCTATGGAAACTTTCCACTTTAGCAGGAGCTGACTATAAACACACAAGCTTGTCATGTCTAGACAGTAATATAGATCACGTGCACATTTGACACATAACAAACAAAGTCTTACATTTGTATTCACTGGGATACAAGAAATAAATTTTGCCAATCCTTGATGGGTGCCACACCCACCTTCTTATACTTTGCTGTGAGATCTACAATGTACATGTAGTTAGTTGACACAAGTGTATATAGTCATTAGAAAGAGCTCAATTTACACTATACTCCACCAATGGTTAATTTGAAATTGGCATGCAGTTTTTGTATTGAAGTAGATGTAATTGCCTGTAGTTTTATTGTCTGCTTGATCTACTATAGCACTGATGGTAGTTTCTTATCTAACTATACTATAGTTAGAGAGACAGTTAACCCTTTTCAGACAGGTCATGGGTGAAAG